AATTAAATTTATACACTGAAAACCTGTAGTAAAAAAAGAAATACGATTATAATATTATTTTTAAGAAATTTCATTTCATATTAAAATATAAGATTTTGAAAACTCTTACATTAGTGGATCGGTCAGGTCGTCTCCAAGCTCGATCATGTTTGAACTATTTTTAACGGATCATTTCCGATTCAATCCAGAATATCTTAATTTAAAACCCACTATTTTCATGTTAGATTTTGGACCAAAAATAGGTTGTCACATTTTTTGCCAGATGTAAATAAAATGAAAGAAGCATGTTAAAAAAAGAAGAAGAAGAAAAGAGATGAGTAATTTGGGGAGGGAAAAAGGACATTTGATTGGCGGATAGATAAAAAAGGATTAAAATAAAGGGGAGGGGGGCGGACCGATCATCCTACTAATTAGCACACACGTCTGCTTTTCCTACACACACACAAATGACGTGACGGGACAAGGTGGGGCCCACTTTGTGGGAGGTGGGTGTATGCATTGCACGTGAGCTGAGAGAAACGTTTCGCCAGCCAGCCCACTCACGTGCCCCCATCCCCTGCCGTTAATCTGTCCCTCTGCCGAGAACGACCCTTCTCCGTTTGCGTGAATTTCCGTGTTAACGCCCCCGCCATCATAACGTTCGCCGTTTACACTCCGTCATCAATGTTACTCTACGCCGTAAGTAGATACTTCACCCGTATCCTCTTGACCTCCTCTCTCTCAAATGTGGTCCAGTCCATAAATCATTTACACTTTACGCAAAATAAAATACTAAATTTTTTAAACTGATTCTATATAAAGATTGGTATATAAATAAAAAAATAAAATTTACATATTTAAAGATAAAATAAGTGTTTGACAAAAGAAAAAATGATAAAAATATTTTATTTAATCAAATAGGCAATGAAAATACACAAATCAACAAAAATTCTTGTGATCTTTTAATAATAAATGTGTAAATCATTTAGATACGGGGGAGTAATAAGTAATAAATTAGAATTATTTTTACATAATAACATACAATTATTACAATAAAGAACAGAGATTATTGCGTCATTTACCCTTGAACTTTTTGAAAATTGCACGGATTTATCCTAAATTTTAAAAATTTTACCAATGCCCCCTAAACTTTTACAAATGTTGCATCAACGGTCGCTCTGTGCCAGATTTGAGAATGCCTTAATAACACTCATTAAAATACGTGTTTGAGCTTGGTGAAGATATCGCGGAATGACGAAGAGGTTGATCGATTGATAACGAGCTTTATCGACTGATGTCCGACCTTCAAATTTGGTTATCAGCGATTAGATCGAGAATAATTATCTAGGGTTTAAAGATATTAAAAATGTAGGAAATGAAAATTGAGGACATATTTCATGACTCATGTGTGATGTATGACTTTAAATGAATTTTGGATGAACGTGTGATTGATGCAATTCTAGATCTGGCACAGAGAGACCCTAGGTGCAACATTTTTAAAAGTTCAAAGGGTATTGTAGTGATGTTATTTTTAAAGTTCTGAGATAATTTATGAAATTTTTGAAAAATTTAGGGATAAATGACGCAAAAAATAAAAATTTATAGAATGTTACTCCCTCCGTCCCCTTTTAGACTATAATATTCCCTTTTAGGGAAAATTAAGGAAGAGTCAAATCAGTATTTTTTTCCCAAATTACCCCCCAAATAGTATAGGAATGGGTGGGTGGTTGAGATTTTGACATTGAAATGATAAAGGGGAGGTAGGGTAAAAGAGTCTATTTAGTGTAAAAGTAAATACTTTATAATTCTTTTTGGGACAAAAATAAGAGGAAATATTGTAATCTAATTGGGGACGGAGAGAGTATAATTTATATTGAAGTAATAAACTCTAGAAAGAGGTAAGCCGAAAAAAAAGAAAGAGTATAAACATGAATAATATGTGAGCCAAATGTCCAAAGCCATTTCAATTCCAAACTGACACGTCCCTCATGTGTTTCTATGGGAAAAGATAAAGGCACACCAAGTGTGTTCTATACCTTTTTTTCACAAATATGAGTTACCCTTTTTACAACGAATTCATGTTTGTGAGAATAAAAAAATATATGAAGTAAAAACAGGAAGCACAATACTAAAATCAATTTTTATACCCCTTTGTTCAATACTTCTTAGATCTCAATTTTGATTACATATTGGAAATTACGAGGTAAAATAACACGTATTTTAAAATTACTTTATCTATAAATTGATACATAAATAGAAAAATAAAAATTACATATTACGTCTAAACTTCTACAAGTAAGAGGTCAAGACCGGCTGAGTAATGTGAAAAAAAGAGATTGGTCATGTGCAAAAATCACATGTTGGGCCCTATTTAATTTTTTGTAGAGTTTTGTAAATTTCATTTTTGTAAACCACACATATAACAATTTGAATCTTAAAATACTCTCTCCGTCCCTAAATGATTTACACTTTACGCAAAATGAAATAAAATCTCATATTTTTTAATGTATTTTATTTAAAGATTGGTATATACATAAAAAAATAAAACTTATACATTTAAACAGTACATCAAAAGTTCTACAAAGAAAATTTTTTATTTCATCAAATAGTCAATAAAAACACACAAATAAACAAAAATTTCCACGATTTTCGAATAGTGGAGTGTGTAAATCACTTAAGGGCGGAGAGAGTATAACTTTGTACGTAGTATTAAATTCAGAAATATCAAGTAATTAAAATTATGAATATCTAACAATATTGGGCCCTGAAAGTTTGTGGCTGTGTGAGGATGCACACCTTCCACACCTTCCATGCCGCCTATACAAGAGATGATAAAAATATTTTATTTTATCGATCAAATAATCAATATGAAAACATACAAATAAACAAAAATTATTGAGAAGTGAGAAAAAAATAATTGTAATCAATTTAAGGACAAAGTGAACATTAAATTATCATTTTGACTATAACAAATCTAAAACATTTTATGTTTAACATATATAGTTCTATTTCAACATGTTTACCTGAAATCAAATTTGGATCTTACGTCTTTTGTACATTTTACCTTTACCAACTCCGTGACGTCTACCGGCAGGAAGAGCAGAAAGAGAAGGGCTGGGTGGTGAAAAAAGAAATGAAACTCACGGGAAATGCTTTCCACGCCGAAAGGCACCTCATGTAAAAAGTAATGGCATATACTTTTGGATCCTATCTTAATTATATTTTCACTCACGGAGTCCTCCATATTAAACTTCTTCCTACCTTGCAACAACATTTTAACAATTTGCTTCATTATATTTATATACTACCTTATCAGTGTTTTTTTAAATTTTAAAGTTGATATTTTATTTTGTTCGATTTAAAAATTGATGTAACAAAGAAAAGTTATAAAATAAGAAGAAAAAACAGTTCACTCCGTGAATGACACGAGTTAAAATGCTAATTATTACTAAAAAAGTTAAACATAAAAATCATCATTAGATAATATATTCTAAACATTGAATGTGTTTCCAAAACGACACTAAACATTAAATACAAATACATAGGATTTGTTGAGAATATCATTAGAGATTAGCGTTAGCGTTTTGAAAATGTGCGAGCATTGTTCAGCGATAGGATTTTTAAAGTAATCTGCATCGTTAAAATTTTATCCAAAACGCTAACGCTAATTCTTAACGTTATTCCCAAGCAAGGCCATATACTCATAGTTCCACAAAATTTGCCTTACATAGAAATTTTCAAATAATCCTCTTATTTCATTGTTTCATTAATATCCTTTCAAAAAAATTATTTATCTAATTTAAGTGTAAAAAATCAAATTAAATAAATACTTCACCACCAAGTAGTAAATTAATTGGGAGACATGTTGAGTCATTTTATAAATAAATACTCCGGGGTAAATAAAAAAATCGGGCAAATTATTAAGAAGATGAGAGAAAAAATTGGGCCAATGAATGTGGAGTCATTTTATACGAAGTGGGGGGCATGTGCCCCGCCGTGACCTGCCTTGAAAGGATCCATTCAAATATATGCTGACGCGGATTAATAAAAATATTACTCTCCCTTCTCAAAAAAATTGGGAAAAGAATTCAAGCTATCTCCCAAATTAATATTTCTTCTGTCTAAAACAAAACTTTTGATTAAATTCACATGTTCAATTAGACTGCTTCTTCGATGCATTTGTTTGCATATCATTTTTATAAACTTTCTCACATAAAAAATACTTTTTTATTTATTTTTTAAAAATATTTATTTAAAGGATAAATAAGTGCTTATTTTGCTTATATGTAAGTTCATGTTGGACCTTAGGTCTACCATAGAATTTACTGTTAAACTAATTCTACTTTTTTACATACATTTGCCATCGATCAATTGATAAAATAAAATAAAATATAATATAAAAACCACCTTAATTAAGACTAAACATAGAGAAAATATCAAAATAGAAGTTCCATGTTTTTATTCCCTATGTAGAAGTTTGTATTGCGGTAATGTGACATATTCTACATGTGCATTTTACGCAATGTTTATGATCATGATTGGTAATGTAAATGTATTTTAACTCATATTTCAAAAATAAAAAAATGGAACTCTCATTTTGGTATATTATCAATGTTTTATTTTCCTTACTTTAGGCTTTTTCTCAATAAAATAACCTTGTCAATACTAGTTTTGTAGAACTTTAGATATAGTTCTTAATATATAATTTTTTTTAATTCTACACAAATTTTTAATAATGTTGGTTTGGAAATTATTTCAATCAAACAATTTAAACTGAACAAGAGTCTTAGTTTGGGACGACGAGAGTATCAACATTCAATCTACTCTTTCAATCCATCCTAATGTGTTGTCCGATCTCTTAGATACAAACATAGAGTTTCTTTTTTTATTTTTTATAATAATTTAAACTTAACAAGAAATCCAAAATCAAAATTAATTGAAGGGAGTGAGAGAGTGTGTTCGGGGCGGGGCTGGTGGGGGTTTACTCTGGGGTTAGGGGAGTATGAGCCGTCAATTTACAAACGGGGCACCAGAACGCCCTCAGGTCATCCCATGACATTGTCGGGCGATGTCATAAGAACCACCCGATCCTAAAATGGAGTATTTTAAACTCTTGACACAATTCTCAAAACCCAAGTTCCATTTGAAGTTGAAGTTCCAAATGAGTTTTTGAACAACAACTGTTTTGTTTGGAATTGCATTCCAAACAAAAATCAAAAGAAGAATTTTCCACTGCAAATGATGGATCTTATTAATGGGTGTGTCGGGACCAATCCAAATGTATAAACAAGTTAGGCCTCCGAACCGCAAGCTATAAAGATGGAGTGAGTAGAAATTACTCTGAGCTTCTCTACTTGTGCAGATTGACAGTAACATCAATGCACAATAGCATATATCTCATAATATAACAAAGGAAATCATAATGTGATTCAACTTCATTTACTAATATGATTTCTAAGAAGAAGAAACACCATACCTAGCCTTCTTCTGAGCTTGACTAGAGATTGAACATCCTTCTTGGCTTCATGTCCATCTCTAGTTTTTCTGGTCCAACTTTATTATCCTTCAAAGAGCACGAGCAAGATGATGATGATAAGCTAAATATGTTCTTCTTCAATGCATGCCTACTTCTATCACAAATTAATGCCGAGTGTGATGAAAGAGAAGTTGAATGCCGTGTACCACCCTCTCTGCAGTCATTCGTTTTCTTTGAAGCGTGTTTTGAGGCCCGATTTAGTGTTTTGGGCCCATGGTGCTTGTCCATCATTGACTTCGCAATACCCATCATCTTTCATGCTCTATCCATCTCATTCGCATGAAGTGGTCGGCCATGGCTCTTGCTGGGTGGGAAACTCATGGACCCACACTGTAATCCGCCCTTATTTTCACGTAAAATGTGCGGCGACGCCACAAGGTTTTAGCAGAAAGCTCATAAGTTCTTGGCAAAGGCAACAACTCATCATCACTTACTCTATTAACAAGCTGAGGTGAATCAGGTGATACAATACTTTGGTTCAGACTCAGTTCAGCATCAAAATCATTCATAGTGTCGTCAGCTTTGGCATGTTGTCACATTTCCAAAATGATTGTATACCTGCATGAGAGGTACATCAAAATGCGAGGATGGTGAAGGGAGCAAACTATAAAAAATCTTGACTAGTGATTCACGGAATTAAAACAACAAAACTAATAAAATCCCATGAAAGTAGGGACTGGGGAAAGTACGTGTAAGGAGACCTTAGTCTCACTTGGCAGTAGAGATACTGTTTAGAGTACAGACAAAGACAACACAAAAGGTTGTCGAATTTAACAAAAGTTTATACAGAAAATTGGGAAAAAAAACACAGACACAAAAATATGATATTATGATTCATGCATAGATGATGGTGATCACGAGCTGGATACAATAAAACAAATCAGTTGAACTGTGTTTTATAACACTTACAACAGTGAGATACAACACATCTCTTTGGGGGGGGGGGAAAGAGTACACATAGAAAGAAAATGAGCAAACAAAATAAAGAGAGAATGTGAGAGAGTATTTACTTCCAAAACGTTTCTTCTAAAATTCAATTAATCTATATAAAAGTGCTATGATCAATATATCTATAAAGTGTGTGTGCGTGTGCGCGCGCTCTATACATGTTTGAGTCTAAAAGAAACGACTTACTCTTGGGAGTAGAACCAATCGAGAGAAAGATTGTTTTTTAGCATATCATAAAGAAAAATATTACAATGATTAATAGTCTATAAAAAGAAAAAGTACCATTTTGTTAGCTACATACTCTTTATCATATCCCTCCTCAAGATCCGCGTTGGCTGCTAGCATTCATATATTAAGTTAATAACATGTTCAAAAGCCATCTAATACTCTTGGGAAGGATTAAGAAGAGACCACATCATTTTATCATGTTTACCTACCGGCTAGCATAATTCAGTTAAACAAAGATGTTTTCGGCAACTTGTTAGCTTAGATACAGATGCCAGACAAGGTAATTGAGCAAATTAAACACCACAAACATGCCAATTGATATCAATCTATGCCTAGTTGGCAACAACTTCGGCATTTAGCTTTAATTAGCATATTGAGAAGATTATATAACGGCAACACTTTAACACTTTCAAAGTTAATATGCATTTTTTAAAAATAATCCAAAACGCTAACACTAATTGAAAACTTTATCCCTAAACTAAGCCTTGATTTGTTTATCATTACATGATTATTCCTTTTTGGTCTAATCCACATTGGCCATTTTAAACACTTCCCCTTATCTATATTTGTTTCTTCTTACCGCAAACAATTTAGATTTTTTTTCACTTCAGAGTTTCAAGACTTGCACCCATCAAATTAAATGCAAATTCAGCCATACATATTGTTAAGTGATTGGTCCAGCATAGAACAAAGGTACTCAGGTAATACGAGTATAAAAAACTAAATCAACATAAAGGGCTAATTTCTGAAAAATAAAATCGAAAAAGTATAAATGCCGCCTGACCTGATCGCGGTGAGGTGCGGGGACAAGGCGTTCCGAGGGGTTGGCAGGGCGGCGGATGGCGGAGCATCTGCGCTCGCACGTCGGACATCTGGATTCAACCTTGGACCACTCCGTGATACACAAGAAGCAGAAGAAGTGATCGCAGCTGCCGATGCATCCTTGAATTGTGGACCGCCCCTGCCCGGATTCCACCAGGCAAATCCCGCAGCACCGCTCCGATTCGCCGCCTTCGTCCTCCCGCTCCAAGTTTTCGAGCTTGGTCTTACCCTGGACGGCGGCTTCTTTTGACGGGAGCGGACGTTCAAGTGTTTTGTGGCGTTTGTTTGCACGCGGATCGAATTTGGTTCCGGAAGCCATTGCTGGAATCAGCGGGAGAACTATCACCCTAAAGTTCAAAGCCTGGGTAACTTGTAATGCGGTTGTGTAAAGCTATTTGCACCCCAATGTCCTATTTTGTACGCTCTAGCAATGCATTAACATTAACATTTTCTGTGGTTATAACACAAATTTTTATTAACGCATCAATATTTTGTGTCAGTGTAAATTTTTGTTAACCCATAAATATTTTGTGTCAGTGTGAATTATTCAAATGTTGGTGCATACCTTTGGTGTACAAATATGGTACAAATTTTACGGTACATGTAGCATGCTTCATATTTTAATTGGTAATAGATGGGTAGTCAACAACAAGTAAGTTTGGCAGTGCAGTAGTACTCGGTGGCGGGAAAAGTTCTACAGTTTAAATATATATCAAACTCTCATATTGATATTTGTTGAAATTTAGAGATATATCAAACCCTCGTATTGATATGTTCAGAAATTGTATGATATTGAAAGTAACCTTTTAGAAGACTAGAGATATCAAATGTGAATTCTTTTGTGGCTTCACAAACATCGGAAAAAAAATCTCATATCAGGAGATATATATCATAACCCAAATTTCTTGCGCTCACTAAATGGGCAATGTTCCGCAAGGAGTGCCCCCACACCCGAGCTTGACTGACAGAGAGACACTTTGCCTAGAAAACGAGAATTTCACTATAGGCACGCTATGGACGACCCCATCTGTGCAAGATACAACAAAGATGGTGAGACCCCTATTTGCCTTATTCATTCCCCTATAAGGCGTATGCACATCGACTAACCACCCCCTCACGCAACTATTTGCTATCCATACGTTTGAACGATGTGAAATGATATTGTATGGTATGTTTGATCTTTGAAGGAAGTCATGGAGAGTAGTTAAAAAGGTCAAATGTTGAGGGACAAGAAAAGCTCATTATATCATGGGTGTATTCGTTTATTAGCTAAAACAAGCAGGTCTTTGGAAGAGGGAAACACCTCATGATGTCTTAGTTGGGCTTGTTAAGGCTCTCCTTGCAAAGTTATTGAGGAAAGATTCGAAAGAACACAACAGACTTGCTGCTGGTCCTCTGCCTAGCAACATCGAGATGGATCTTTACGACAAGCTCCCTCGGGTGCAACAATCAAAATAAACTCGCATGCACTCAACAAAGATGAGAAAATTGTAGGAAGGATGGTCTTTTGGGACGCTCGAGATGCAGTGGTGGAGGATTGGACATCAAACTAGTTCTCGAAGTAGGCGGAAACAATGACCCTTCATTATGGTATACCCCTAACACAAAGGATTGACTTGAATGATGTGATTTTGAAGTTAGATTCTTGATTAGTCTTCAATGCTTTCTCCACCCCAAGATTTGGATGGTGCTAGTTTAGCTTGATTATTGAAGGTGTCTTAGTTTTGATATTGAGCCATGCTAGGGGTACACCAAAGGTGTACCCCATTTGTCCCCCACTCCCTTTTCCACCACCCATTTTTATCTACTTTTTATTTATTTAATTTTTTTTAAAATTCTTGCCTATTTATGTGGTAATGGAGGGGGTGGGGGACAAATGGGATACACCAAATGGTGTACCCCTAGCATTTTTCTTTGATATTTCTTCCTTTTTTGATTGATGTATTATTAATTTAATGATTGAAAAAGAAAAAAAGATATACAGGGTAGATTGGAATCCGTGGTATCAGCCTATCTCTACCCAGTACCCACTCTGTATTTGTTTCCTATTCGTCAATCCACAATTCCACATACATCTGCTTCTCCTCCGCATCATCTAACCCCCTGCCGCCACGACTGTCATTTCCGACCACCACCATGTCAGAATCAAGCGGCGTTCATGTCCTAGTGTTTCCATACCCAGCCCAAGGTCACATGCTTCCCCTGTTAGATCTGGCTCACCAACTCGCCGTCCGTGACGTCGTCATCACCATCCTCGTCACCCCCAAGAATCTCCCCCTCTTGTCCCCTCTCCTCTCAAGACACCCCTCCATCAACACCCTCGTCCTCCCCTTCCCGGCGACCGATTCCATTCCCGCCGGCGTCGAGAACGTCAAGGATCTCCCTCCCTCCGGCTTCCGCGCAATGATCCCCGCTCTCGGCGGCCTCAAGGATCAAATCGCCGATTGGTTTCGCCAACACCCTTCTCCGCCGGTGGCGATCATTTCGGACATATTCTTGGGGTTCACCCACGATCTTGCCGTCGAGATCGACATTCCCCGGTTCGTCTTCAGCCCTTCCGGCGCGATGGTTATGTCCGTCGTTTTCAGTCTGTGGCGAGAGATGCCGAAGCGGAAGAATCCCGCCGACGAGAACGAGGTATTCCGGTTCCCTAATATCCCGAACTGCCCGGAATACCCCTGGTGGCAGCTGTCCCCGCTTTACCGGAGCTACTTGGAGGGAGATCCGGCATCGGAAATCATCAAAAAGTCGTACTTGGACAACACCCTGAGTTATGGACTGCTGTTCAACACGTTCACCGCGCTTGAAGGGGTGTACATCGAGCATTTGAAGAAGTACTTGGTCAACGACAGAATATGGTCCGTCGGTCCACTGTTGCCTCCCGGCGACGAAGTCTCCGGTTCGGCGGAGAGAGGCGGGCAGACAGCCGTCGCAACGAGTGAGATACTGAGTTGGCTCGGATCCCGAGAGGACAACTCGGTGGTGTACGTTTGTTTCGGCTCCCAAGCCGTGTTGACCGACCAGCAAATGTTGGCCCTCGCAACCGGGCTGGAGAAGAGCAGAGTCAACTTTCTATGGTCGGTCAAGGGGCCCACCAAGGGACACGTGGACGGAGCTTACGGGACGATCCCGGCGGGGTTCCAAGAACGCGTGGGACCAAGGGGAATTGTGATTCAAGGATGGGTCCCGCAGGTGAGGATTCTCCGGCACCGGGCTCTAGCGGCGTTTCTGACCCACTGCGGCTGGAACTCCACCCTAGAAGCCATCGTCTCCGGCGTGCCGGTGCTGACGTGGCCGATGGGAGCCGACCAATTCGCGAACGCGGACCTCCTGGTGGACGAGTTCAAGGTGGGGACCAGACTGAGTGAGGGAGCGGAGAAGGTGCCGGACTCGGACGAGTTGGCTCGGTTGCTGCGCGGCGCCGTGAAGGAGGGAGGAGGAGAGGCCAGGCCACGGGTGCAGCGGCTGAGACAGGCGGCTCTTGATGCCAACGTGGAAGGCGGAGATTCTTTCCAGAATTTGGACAACATGGTCAAACACTTGGGTGAATTGGCTTCGGGAATCAAAAGGTAACACGCAATTGTTGGGCGTGTCTCTGGGAGTATTTTGTGCTAGTTTAAATAATTAAAGTCTCAATCCACACATGTGGTGTACAATTTTGGTACAATTTTTGTGTGGAAGTTACCTTATACTTCTACAAAATAAATTATTTATGATTTTATGCTAGTGTGAAATAATTCAGAATACAATCCTTGGTGTAGAGTAGCTCTATCTTTTTACAAAATTAATTATGATGAATTTCTTTAACTATAGAATAGTGGTAACTGGCAAGTTTGGTTAGATATCAAATTAGGACCATGCAACTTGTACATCATTTTATACATTAAAAGCTTTGCACTTACGTACAATGCAAGAGCAAGACTAATATGTCAGTGTGTTGCATTCGCATTTTATGCTAATGTAAAGTTTTGGTGTACAAAATGATGTGTAAATGTAGTACGTAGCATTATTAATCAAATTATTTACTTTTTCTGTTCCAAAATAAAAGTCCAATTCAATATTCATTTAGCTAAATTTAATTTATTTAAATTTTTCATAGCATGTTTGGAAATTAGAATTTTGTTTTCAAATATAGGTTTGGCTCAAAATTTTATGTTTAAAATCTTAAAAATTGAATTGAATTTTTTAATTTATAACAAAGCTCAATTATATATAAACCAACCTTTTCATCTTTCCATGTCATCTTCATCCAGCTTCAACATGTATATTGATAAACGTGTGATTAACATGCTCTCAATTATGGTGCAAAGAGGCCATTGATGAAACATTTCAAAAAATTCAGGGGTAATCCACATAAATTTTGAAATTCAGGGTTAATTCGCACAATTTTCGAAAAGCTCGAGAGTAAATGACGCAAAAATTTCTTAAGAAAAGTACAAATTAATATCGTATTCCATATGTGATTTCTTAATTTATATGGAACAATTGTTGTGATTTTTTAAAATATACTCCGTAGTAGAGAGTACACTCTTTATTTTTTAAAATAACTTTTGGAGGATTTTTATATCCATTTTCTAATAAATTAATGTGAAAATAATTTCAGTTAAACATAAAAAACACAATAAGGAGTTAGTTTTAGAATGGAGGGTGTATATTGAAAAAGTGCCAAGGTTAAAATGACGACATTCACTTTAATTTGGATTTCATATTATTATGACACTGCTCCCTAAAACAAATTGTTTCAAAATATTGACGGTTTCTAGCCTAAATCCTTGATTTCGGGATTGAGCATTCATTTGTAAAGTTATGCATTCTTTTGTGCCACAAAAGTGTTGCCCCATATATATGTTTATAATAGCACTTGTTTGGAGAACATTTGAAAAACAGTTTTTATGGTGTAAAAGATTCATAAAATTGCTATTAAAAGTGTTTGATGAAAATTTTTATGGAGTACTACACAAAATTACTGCAGTATATCTCAATTAGCTTGCCAAATATAAAAAACATTTAAATTTGGCAAAATCTTGACACAAACATATATTTCTCGAGTAACAAATTATGATCGAGTACAAAGTGTACATGAGTACTATATAAAAAGCTAGAGTGCCAAAATATGAGACAATATTTTTACTAGGAACAAACAGAAAGAATACCATAAACTAGTTGTATAATTAATTGTTTTTGAATCACAATTTCGGAGTTTTTTTCTTTTCCGAAGAGTAAAGTTGAGCACTCAGGATAAACCAATACCCAAAAAATGCTTTTATATAAAGAATGAAGTGGAAATGTTATTTCGAGATAACGAGCACGGAGTATAAAACAAAAAACAAGAAGAATGTAATGAGACATTTCGGATAAGATTTTATTTTGTTTTCTTAATTGTAGTGAGACTATAGTTTATCCTAAAGTTAGAGTG